TTAAATGATCTTCCTTGGATTTATAGCTTGCCGAACTTCTTTCTGGGCTCAGCTCCCCGTCTTTGACTTCATAGATTCTGATTCCAACCAGTTTTTCTTCCTTTGTTCAGGAGCCTCTGACCAGGGTTGCTACCAGTCGGCCATCTTCCCAGAATCCCCCTCTGAAGAAGTTCTTTCTCTCTCCTTCCTTCCTTCCTTCCTTCCTTCCTTCTTTCCTTCCTTCTTTTCTTTCTTTCTTTCCTTCTCTCTCTCTTTCTCTTTCTCTCTCAATCTCTCCCTCTCTCTCTCTCTCTCTCTCTCTCTCTCTTTTTTGTTATGTACAGTACCCTTTTAACCATTGAATACAGCATGCTAAGTACAGGGTGATAACTTGCTCTGCAGTGGTTTTGGAATGAAAAGCTCAATTCAGAACCGTGAATAAGTAAAGATAGGTACAATAATCAAATGCCTTCTGGTAGTGGAAATATCCAGGGTTGCATGCAGGAGATTGTCACTCTAATTTACACCTGATCTTTGTCCTAGTAGGTCTGTCAAGGAAAAGTGGCAATACCATTATTTGAACCCTCAATTTGCAGAATGACTCATTATTCCAGGGCAGAGTGCACAGAGTACGTTACAGAGATCCTCTTTACTAAGCTCAAAAGAGTGAACAAAGACACAAAATGGGGGGCATGCATGCTGTGGTTTCTACATCACTAGAGCCGCCCACCTGGGCCCAGAGCACGTACGTCCTGGTGGGAGCTCTTTCAGTGCTTACCTTTCCTATATCCTGTGGAAAAACCAAGCCACACATGATTTAACCCCCTGGCTCCAGTGTAGCTGGTGAATGCAAATTTCTACATGCTCACAAACATCTGCTTTATTTCTTCCAGTCTTTGGGGTAAAGGGAACAGAATAGTTCCTCCTCCCTTCTGTTTCCAGGATGGGAAGGGGAAAAGCAAATTTCTATTGAGATCTCCGCAAAAAAATTTCAGAAAGATCCCTGTCCTCTTAACTAAAGGCAAACAGCACAATTTCAATGAAAGTCTTTTCTGATCCTGTCTCCTTTGTGGAAAAAGTTACTTGGGCAGTTAGTTTAGTTGGTCCTCTGTTTTTCTTTCTAAATTGTTTTTCAAGTTGCTCCAGACAAATGAGAGTTACCTAAATATAAGCTGCTCTCTAAGATGAATGTAGCTACAAGTGAAGGATTTTAAGGACTCTTAAAGATATCTGATATAGAGTGACTCTTCCCTCAGCAATGACTTCCATAGAAAGAGTACATGGAGGGTTCGCCTGTGGTTTCTTAGGGCTCCTTTAGTTTTTGGAATCAGGAAATTTGGAAAGGCTGTTTAGGCAGCAGTTCTCAATCATGACTTGAAAGGCCCTGGGTTTCAGCACTCCAGGGTTATGCGTGAAAAAAGTGTTGAGTGAAGGTCCCCTGGCTGCATCCCCCTGTACCTAGTTTATCTGGCCCTGGGTGGAGTTCCTTAACATGCAAAACTCAGACATTGCAATAGTAGTCCTGATTCCTTTAAGACTGTCCCAGACTCTGCCCTTAACTAGTTGGTAAAGTTCCACATAACCTTTGTGCAACTGCCTGAGGATTACAAAATGAGGGGATGATACACTGGCAAGGGCCTTAGTTTTCCATCATCACCCAGGAGGAAGCCGGAACCAGTCTGGTGAGAAAGAACTCCAGGAAAAACACCTCCCTGGTTCATGTCAATAATGCCTTTAAAATGGAGACCCACAGAGCCCAAAGAAGTCCTTAAGGAACCTTGATGCTAAAACTCGAGTTCCAGTTAAAATGAAACTTAGGAGTGTGGACTTATAACAAATAGGATTGACTTTATGCAGTGATTTGATCTGGGGAAGATGAATTCCTGGCAGTGTTCTCAGTTCGTCCTATTGGTAATTCCTAGGGGTGCTAGCTAGCCAGGGTGCACATCTGATGTTCTTAAATATGGTCTTGTGTTGCTTCTGTCTCAGGCTCTGAGAGTTCTCAGAAATCTCCTGCCAAGCTGGACAGAATTTTACTATGTGGTTGCCTGCAGCTGGCACCAGCTGTTGCTACACTTTTCTATCCTAATTTCTTTTTGTGTGTTAAGATTGTGTTTCTAGTTCCTCCTCTGACTCTGACACTATGGATGCAGTGCCAAATTGTTTGCTGGTGAACATGATATTGCCAGTAAAGGCCAGTGGCTTCTTCCAAAGGAGCATTTGACTATTTGCATAGAACTACTTCTGGGTATAGGCCTGACTATGCCATTTTATTGTGGTTAATATAATGTTTTTAAAAGAATAATTTTAACTCTAAAACTAGAGGCAGGAAATGAAACTTGGCTTAAGGATTCAAGTCCCTAAAATGTAAAGTTGAAGTGGTCAGAAAAAAGGAATCGTCTTTTAACAGCAGCTAGATATATTGGTTTGCAGAAAAGGAAAATAGGGGATCTTTTATTAGATCAAATATTGACAGCAATGTTCTAGCATGATGGACATGCCTTCTGTATGAGATGAGAATGACATCCACTCAAAAAAAGCCCAGCGGGGAGAGAAATGCCAACAATAATAGATGTGACCTTTTAGTTCCTTGGCCATTGGCATTGCCGGAGAGTAATCCTAGATCACCCCTTTTTCCATTTGGATGTAGCTGAGACTGACAGGGCAGGTGTCCTGCCTAAAGCAACTGATTAACTGGTTTATGATCAGCTTTCAGTCTCCTTCCTACTTGCCTCTTCCAAAGTGAGCTTGAAACTCCAGTTCTTTTCATTATCTCTGCAGAGAACCTGGAGGCAAGGATAAGGTTTATTTTTTGCAACATGTAAGGCTGTTTTTAAATCAGTGCTAAGATCAATGAGCAAATGATGCTGCACCTTAGAGATTTTTAGTACTATTATTAAATTTAGTAGGATTAGAATGCAGCTACTGACTGAGGACTTGAACAATGGCATCTACATGAAGCTAATTTCAGCACATCTTAATCCCTTCATCATAATATGAACAAGGAACAAAACAACTGGTACTGAGGCAGTTGGGCATTGCTTCTGGCATTACAGCTTCTGGTTGATGATATTATCTAAGGTTTGATTTTGTAAATCATAGCTACTCACACACACTGCCGCTAATGTCACTGGCCTGTGTCGTTAAACATTAGATCTACTCCCATATTGTTCAACCCAATCCAGGGAAAGGATGGAGAAAATTTGTTCACAACTCATTTATCCATGGCTTCTTGGGTGTATAATTTGGGCTAGACAACGAATGTGAGAGGGGAGAGAATCACATTTGGCCCCACTACTTATAAGTGGCTTTGCATAATCCTGCCCCTTTCTCTTCTGTGTCCATAATAGGAAAAGTGCTGAAAACCAGCCTAGGTGGCATATCTTCGTTATATCCTGCAGTGGACATGTGTGAACCTGTCTTTTCTGGAAGCTGGAGTCAGGTTAGTTTGAATATTGAACTTACACATGTACACCTGATCTCTGCTCTGTCCTGTGCCATGCAGAGCAATTTGGCTCTCTGGACCTTAGCTTCAGTCTCCAACCTGAATGCTGACCTTTGACTTGTGGTTGGTCTCACGTCATAGTCCCTGATGCTGCCTGTCTCAAGAAGCATGCTGAAGCCCTTCCCCTTCCTGCCAGCCCCAAGCCCAGCTTCCAGCCCAAGACACTTTCATCCCATCTTATACCATGACCTGATACTGACCGCTAGTTGAGTTCAGGCTCAAGTGACTACTTGGATCGGAGGCTGAGAACTTAGATCCAGGGACCCAAGTTACAGTGGGGAGAGTGTAGGCTGATTTGAGCCAGGAACAAAGGGCACTGTGTGCTCTCCAATGATTGAAAATTTGAAGAAAAACATCTGACCTAAATGGGAGAAAAGTGAAAGCAAGACAAATACAAGCCATTAAACAAGTGTGCCACTCTAACAACTAACATGAGGCTATGTTCTTGTAACTCAGATGACTTTTGCAGAGTCATTTACATCTTGAGTTTCTCACACATTATGAAAATTGGTCATGGATATTTTTATTTAAAATTTTATTTTTTTCCTGAATGGGTGCTATGTTGGTGTGATTTTCAATTCAGAAGAGTATTAGGGTATAGAAAAAAAATTCTTCTTTTTTTTGTCTTGAGAGAACCAAAGTTATCAATTTATTTTATACTTTTTAAGAGACATTTGATGCATACACTTGGGAACAGCTGCATGTATTATTTTGCTTCTTTAAAAAAATATAACCACTGTTATACTGCATACACTAATGATCCCAACAAGAAGGGAAAGGTTTCTGGGGTCCTGCCCCAGCGGCAGGGTGCATTAAGACCTATGGATCTGGCTGTGGTCAATTGAAGAAATGTAAGTTTAGAAACAATGAGAGAGAAAGAGACAAGACACACAGAATAGAATTCTGAAAGGTAGGAGCACAGGGGACCACTGATCGTTTGTGGCGTTCTGACCACGGCCCTGAGTATCAGTTCCACTCAGCTTTTATTGAAGGCTATTTGCTCATTAGTCCAGAGGGTAAGCTGAGGAAGGGAACAAAGATGTCTCCAGTTTCTCTGAGTAAGCATATCAGCTTCTATTGTTTCTATAATCATTAACCTTAAGGGTCTGAGCAGTCTTAAGAAATCTGGAACCTGAGCCTTGTTTGGGTCAGCCTCCTGTCTGTGGTCACACACCAGTTTCTGTGTGTGTGTGTGTTAATTCCTGCTAATTCAATGTAAAGTAAAATGCCACTGGCCACAATCTCCTCTGAAGAATCAGTGGGAAAGAGAACTTTTCTTCTCGTCACCAGCACAGAGGGCCTTCCTCTGTGATAAGGGATATGAGCCCTCCTACCCATATTTCAGGGCTTGAGCTGTTCCCTTGATCTCTTCCCCAGCCAAATATAAATCTCCACAATGGATATTTGCTTTGAATGTTAACTGCACAGGAGGTGGCCTAGTTAACGTTTCTTGCTAGGCCTTACACACAGCTTCCTCTGTGGCCATTAGTCCTTTAGAGAGCTTACAGATGTAGCAGGGGTATTAGTAAGCTGTATCCCTAACAGGCTAGGCTTCTAGGAAAAGCAGGAAACTTGCTCAGTTAAGAAATTTAGCAGCAGGCAGTTTAAAGGTAAACTAGCTGACTTTCCTTTGTTCCACCTCACTTAGCTTCCTTTTTTATTTTCCTCTTTTTCTGGGGGTGTTTTCCCTTGCCAAGAATGGGGTCTTTAGTCCCCATTCTGCCTGCAAAGGTGATATATGCATTGTCACATGAGGAAAAACAAATCTAAGGAGAGGTGAAGGTGTCAGATTTTTTAAATGAGAAAGGTAAGCAGAAGAAAAGTCATCTTTCAGATACATCCCAGGATACCAATTTTTAGCAGACAAGTCCATTTCCCCCCCCAAAAAAGTACTAAGACAAAAGTCTTCTTGAAATAATCTACCATTTTTAGGGCTTTTTAAAGAGCAGTCTTGAGAAATCTGAAACCTAAGCCTTGTTTGGGTCATCCTCCTGTCTGTGGTCACACACCAATTTCTGGGGTGTGTGTGTGTGTGTGTGTGTGTTAATTCCTGCTAATTCAATATGGAGTAAAATGTCACTGGCCACAATCTCCTCTGAAGAATCAGTGGGAAAGAGAACTTTTCTTCTGACACATGCTTCTTCATACACATTCAAAGTAAAAGAAAACAAAGCTCTTATAGAACAAGAAATATTTTTGCATTATTGAGAGCAGCTGCAATTTAGAGTCAATCTTTCAAGGTAATGAATCTCCTTCTGATCTGTGGGCTATGGGGCTGGTTAGGGAGACAGCACTCTCAGAGTACTGATGAATAACTCTCCAAAACACTTTTTTTGTTTGGTAAGAAGAGAGAAAATAAATGCTCCAAGCACAGTCTTAACGAGCAAGGAACCCAACAAATCAGGGCACTTGGAGAGAGGAAAACTGTAGCTGTGAAGGAAGGATTGATTGATCCACTGAACATGAGAAACATCTCCCCAGTTAATTCTTCTCTAACTTAAGTATAAGGGTGAGTATGTGACGGAAGACTCTTTAGAGTTCAGTGAAAAAGTAACCTAAGATAGTTTATGTACTTCTTTATGCAGTTTACCATTTTTTAATTTTTAAAACATATATATATATTTTAAAAATGATAAATGAATTTTATTTTAATAAAACTTGAAGCTAAATTTAGTGTCTGAATCAAGCCCTCTTTATCAGTAACAAATTGCAGGTCAATTTTTTTTTCTTTCCTGTTATTGAAAGATGAAGCACCTCAGCATGTCATGACTTGGTTGGCTTCCTTTACTAATATTTGATCCTTGCAGTCTTTGACATAATTCCCATGACAACATGTGGACTGGATATAATGACCTCATTTGACAAGTGAGGAGATCGAGGTTGAAATATTTTGTCTCTTGCCTGAAGTCACACTTGAGAGTGGCAGTGTTGATACTTGATCTAACTTTGGGTGCTTCCAGCCTGAGTTTTTTCCACCACAAGCAGGAACTTTAAAGTTAAAAATACTTTGAATCTTATGATGGGAATAAGAATAAAACACCAGAAGGAAAATACCTTCCACTCACAAATCTCCTTATGTATTCACCTGAACCCCTTATCTGTGCAAGTGGAAGCAAATATTTTAGCTTCATCGAGCCTTAATTTCATTATCCGTAAAACTGAAAGGATAATAATAAACTTATAGAGTTGTGAGGATCAGTAACAGTTTATATAAAAAGCCTAGAGAAAAGGTATCACTCAGTAAACGGTAACTTTCCTATAATAATAACGATAACTATTATTATATATAAGATCAGGTAGATAAAACCATTTTGTAAATTGTGAATTGATATATAAATGCAATGTACTCATAATTTTAAAAATATTTTTCAATATTTATTCGCTATTTTTAGAATACATTTTAATAGGTGGATCCCTTTAGTACATTGTTTTAGTATTATTGTTATTCTAAACCATTATTTTAGGAAACTTAAATCTAAAAGTTAATTTAAATAAAGTAAGTATCAACACTTTTTAAAAGTGCTTTCCCCCCTTTTCGTTTTACTTCATTTTAAAACTAAATATCTTTGTGCAAGAACAAATAACTCAAAACTTCCACTGGGATCCAGTATGATTAAGAGCCTGAAACCAGGGAACAAATCTGCTTTATACAAAAGGAAGAAGAAAAGGCACATAAAATTCCCCTATAATCCTCCTGGTACATTAGAGGAAAACAAATTCCTTCAACTCATAAAAACTTTATGAGCTATAAAACCATTCACAAATAATAACTTATTACAGATTCCCAGTTTCTCATTAGAAACCCCTCGGGCCACATGTGTTTCAGAATTCAGAATTTTTCAGATTTTATGAAAGTAATACAATGCAAATATTACATAAGAATGCCCTTAGCAGGGTCTAGAGGAGCGCCTTATAATTTAACACATTACTATGTTTGTAGCAAAATGTATGAATACTCAAACTAAGTGGAGCAAATAGAACTATAAATAACTTTGTGTCACATTAGGTCAGGTTGTGCCCACAGATGATGAGTTCAGATCAAGTCAGGTCAGGTGTTTGCCAAAACACTTTCAGTTTTCAGAATTTTTTTCTGGATTTCAGGGCTGGAGGTAAGACATAGTGGAGTTGAATTTTCATCCTCTGTGTTGAGCAGAATGATACAAAAGCAATATGGTAGGTGGTAGGAAGGCCATCAGATCTGGGCTCAGGTAGGTTGCACACTTGATGTACCTTTTACTCCTTAGATAATATTGTGGATATTACTTCACCTCTATAAACCTG